GCCTGATTAGAAGGCAGCGTCTGCCTGATCCAGCCAGCCCGGATCGCATGCAGAGGCGATCCAGGCTGGCTGGACCAGGTAGACGCAGCCCTCTAATCAGGCATGTTAGAGGGCCTCCTGCTGGGGCCTCCCGAGCACCCCCTTGAGGAGCAGCGCCCGCGCCGATCACAGAGCTGCATCGATGCAGAGGGCGGCCGGGTGCAGGTGGCAGCGGGGGTCGAGGGGCCATTCGTGATGGCATTGGAGAGGCCCGTGGGGCAATTGCCACCCTGCCCCCCGGCCCAGTCTGCCCCTGGACTCAATGGACTTGTGCCTTTTTTCAGCTTGACTAACTATGTACCTATATGATAATGACCCCTTGTTTGTTTAATTAGTACATTTTTTAAAATGTTTATGTACTTCCAGCTGAATAATTATTGCAGCAAGTAGCACTCCCCCATGGTTTAAATGGTCCCCCATGGTCTGCCCCTGGACTCAATGGACTTGTGCCTTTTTTCAGCTTGACTAACTATGTGCCTATATGATAATAACCCCTTGTTTGTATAATTAGTAAATTTTTTAAAATGTTTATGTACTTCCAGCTGAATAATTATTGCAGCAAGTAGCACTCCCCCATGGTTTAAATGGTGTTTCCAAACTTGGCTCTACATCCTTGGATATTGTTTTCGGATGCTGCCATCTGCACGACACCTAATGGCGTGCGTCATTGTAAGACATAAAAGAAGTATTAATTGTGGATTAAATTGGAACATTTCGAACTTGGAAACACATAGTAGCAACAAGTCCAGTTAAAAAGAAAACATAAAAGGAAAATGTACTTTGAATTTTCTTTTAGTTATTATTTGTTTCCATAAGTACGATAGCTTATCCACTTACAGGGTTTCTAAACCCTCAGCTTTTTTTGCATATATCTACTGCTAGCAAGTAGTAGATATATGCAAAAAGTAAAAAAAAAAAACTTTAACAATGGTTTAAACTTACCTGTGTCTTACCCGAGCGCTCCTGTCGGAAAATGTGAACATTCTCGGGCGGCCGCAAAGGATCTTGCAGTTCACAAGGTAAGTCTATGGACAGCGTGAACCCGCATGCAGACACCGTGGGACAGGAAGTGCCAGCAAGCCCAGAGGAGTCAGCGCTGGATCGGACACCCGCCGCATCGGTGGAGAGAAGGCTGAAAACATCAGGAAAGAACAACAAGATCGGATTAAGAGACATCATTTAAGGTAAGTGCTTTAATTAACGTTGGAGTAAGGGGAAAAAAAAAGTTGCCTTTAATGTCACTTTAAACCTGGCTTTATGATGATGCTGAGTATTGTGTGGTGATTCTAGGGATGCCCTTTGCCTGGCTGTGAGCCATCCACAGGCTGTTTTTTACTTTTTTTTATTTTTGCTCTTCCAGATCTTGTTTCTTCTGTGTCCCATGTCTGCTTGCCACTCCCAGGCTGTTAGCTGAGCTGCTATATAAAAAAGACCCCCGCACAGCTCATGAGTGAGAACACAGCTCTGCAGGACTACTGGAAACAATCTGCTTTGGTAAGGATGGACACTTGGCTGAGAATACAAACACTAACCGAACTATTCTATGAGTTACTAATGCATTCAGTACAATAAGTAGCCCCAAGCTTACCTAACCTAACAACATATTAAACAACATGCAATGAAAGTAATTGTATAAACATATTTATTTATTGTAAAGAATATAGATATAGGACTATTTGCAGTATATTTTATAAGGTGATTGTTTTCCATACTGCTGAAATATTAATTAGGTGCTTGGAATTGATGTGTAATAACAATAATATATTTTATTTTTTAAGAATATTGTAAAATTATTCTGAAAGCATTCATTTTGGGATTATATCACTCTACAATTTTATGCAAACATGTGCAACGAAGATAGATAGATAGATAGATAGATAGATAGATAGATAGATAGATAGATAGATAGATAGATAGATAGATAGATAGATAGATCATACATAGATAGGAAGATAATATTGAGATTATTATAAATTATAGTTCTTTGTAGCAGTAGTCATAATAGTAGTAGTACTAATAGCCGTAAAGGTTGTAGTAATAATATTAATTGGCATGAGTGTTTGAAAATGGAAATATTGGAATCATTCCTTTTGTAAATGTTCAGTGTGTGACTATCGGCTCTCACACGTTAGCTGTACATACAAAATGCCAGACATTCAAGGCATACCAGTGAAACATTTCAGTGATATTCCTGAGCGTGCTTTTCTAAATGTATGCATTTTGTTCCTCTGGACACAACAGATTGGGATGTAAAACCCCATCAGTCTGAAATGTAATTTCATTGATATTTTAAGGTGCCTGTAAATCATAAAATTATATGTATTGATTTTGGATGGTTATATTTAATTATTTGAGAAAAGTGACATTGAATGCTTTTACAATTTGTGGCAAGTAACCAGAAATACCCTCTCAGGTTTCTGACTTCCACAAATTGGAGGATGGTTACTGGTCCTGTTAGGTTTTAAGCTTACATGTGACCTTCGTGGTTTGTCTTTACATGTTGATACCATGATGCTGGTTTGTCATATAAAACATGTTCTTGAGGTTTTTTTTTTTTTAATAATAGTTGGCTCATGTGAATATTAAGTATGCATTTAGGTTCCATAAAAAAATACACACCTTACCAGTAATTGGCTATCCAATAAAATATATTCAAGTTTAAATTTAGAATGTGCAAGGGCAATCTAGAACTTTATAATCATATCACATAACATGAACTCTATTTATTTAAGGAGTGCTGCACATTTCTTACAGCCTTTGCATTTGGATTGCCTATTGTATTACACATAAACTTTGGTATCTCCCACAGCAACAAATCTGGTCTTTGTTCTTAGTCTGAATGGGAAAATCGAATGGTTGCATCTAATGGGAAACTATTTTGCTTCCCTTTGCTTAGGTTTTATTCATCATTGCTATTGCTTCATTCTGGGTTTTTTTTTTAAAGTTCTGTTCATGCTTTTATTTTCACAATTCCCAATTCTCAATCATTTTAGACCTTAGCTGCAATTAGTGTCTCACTTTATAAATTTAAACTGACTACTCCACCAAATCAAGAGTTTACTAGTTGTTAATGGTTTTGATGAATACTCTACACAATGAATCATCACATCTGAGCATTTGTGTGGACATCCTATACATTTCTGGGGTTGTTTCCCCAATGCGAAGTCTATACTCTGTATTAGTCAGGGTCCAGTACTAAAACTTCTATGCGTTCCTGACAAATCACGCCACGTATTTATTTTTAGGAGCTCTGAATATTTATTTATTCGATTACCTGATACTGTGATTACTGTGCACATGCTTTCATAAATAGCACTAATCTGCGCACTGCATGTGTAGATTAATCAGATAACACACAAGCGTTTCCCCATCATGTTTCCATTGAGTATGCTATTTGTGATGTGAAATGCAGTTATTTTTCTTTGTCACACAGAGAGATTACCGGGTAACATTTGTGGAAACATTTGGCTGGTTTGACCATGTCATTAATATATCTAGATACAACTCCCCTAAAACAAACCTTTGCTTACCACAGCTCATTAAAATAATATTCCAACATTCATTTTTATAAAGTTTTTTGGTAAACATTTCAATTTTTCATATTGTTTAAACCTGAACTCCAGACAACAATTAGAGGAAACACCATTGAATGCAGTCATGTATTCATAAAAACATGAATTTCATGTTATTTTAAATGCAACTATTGTAAGTACCTGATGTGTCTTCATTTTAATCCCCTGTACAGTAATATCTCAGAAGAGAAGGAGGGGCAGCACTAGAGGGCAATCAGGTGTCCCGCAGTGCACATGTGCTGACAGGAGGAGACAGCAGAGTGAGCAGAGGGGTGCATTCATCAGGCTCCATCTGATCTTTTATTGCCCAGTCACAGGCTGGGGGCAGGAAGGTGACCAAGGTGAATTGCTTAACTAAATTAGCAACTTTGGCTCTCGTATCTGTGCTTTTCTGCTGCCAGGACTTGATGAATAAAATTACAAATTCCTAGGAGGGTAAAACAGCTTCAATTTCAATTGTGTATTTAGCTTAAGTTCAGCTTTAATATGCCGACACCAATAGGACAGGTCTGTTAAACTTGCCCAAAGATGCCAATTTGAGATACTCTGCTAGCAATAAATTAAGTATGTGCTTGGCTAAATTGTAAGCCACACTTACCTCATAAAGTTGCTTTAAATCTCTGCTGTTCTTCCAAAGCGCCCACAGCCTGTAAGCTTCTGTTCCCTGTGCTCAGCTCTGCATCATTATGGCAAGCTGAAAAGATATTCTAGTCAGCAGGCTGAAAATTCCACTGAGTTTCTCCTGGTGCACCTTTGTGCACATGCATGGAGGCAGTGTGACATCAACAATACTACTATTAGATAGCCACATCTGATATGTCTTTGTTCTGTTATACTATAAAGTAAAAAATTATATATTACATTCAGTAGCATAATGGGGCTTTTATTATTTGGATATGTACAATCACAAATACTGTATATTAGATTTGCAACGTAAAAAAATTAATGCAAAATGATTTTGATTTCCACTATAACCTTAAACAGTAAATTTAATTTTGGGCTGACTAAAATTAAATATGGGATGTAGATATTGACATGCTTTGCCTCCCATATTTTTCTGAGATATACTGTAGCCCTATCCCTTAACCTGAAAATTTCTAAGCGCACCCCAACACATGGCAGTGCAGGTGTGCTTTCTGCTACTGTAACAGTGTGTTGGGGTACCATTCAAAACATTAAAGTAATGCACCGTGGCAATTTTCATCAAGCGATACCACAATGGAATAATGTGAAAGGGGCATAAGCCAACCCTTTTCCTTACCTCTAAATCTAAACAAAGAGTAAGGCTTATCATACTGGGCTCCAAAAGTACCGGCACTAAACCCCACCATCCCCTGCATCCACCTTCCTACACTGACTCCAATAGTTCCATCCATTTAATTTTCAAACTAACAGTAGAAAAACAGGTAAAAGGTGATTTGTTTTTTTACAGGCCACTGTTGTATGTAAAGCCCTGTGCAAACTTGATGCACCTTTTTGTGATCCCTCTAGATGTTTATTAGGCAATTCGGAGGAGTCAGATTTACCCAACTGTACTAAACTCCTTCTCTGTTCTTTATACTTTAATGCAGCCTTCCTTAACCAGTGTGCAGTGGCACCATAGGGTGCTTTCTGGCTTCCTCAGGGGCGCCTCAAAATCTTGGGATGGTAGGACTCTGATATGAAGGGTGAATGAGGACTCTGATGTGAAGGTGGGCTGAAGACTCTGGTGTGATGGGGGCTTCTGATATGAAGGGCAGGACTCCTAATGTAAAGGGGGGCTCTGCCGTAAAAGGAGGGCTCTGATGTGAAGGGGGGACTTAGATGTGAAGGGGAACCCCACTTTTTTGTGTTTTTGCATTGGATCCCCCTTTAAAATCTCTTACACTTTAGACTGCCTCAAGATTTTTCATACTTTTGAAGGGTTCCACGACTGAAAAAAGTTGAGAAGCTGCTTTAATGCAAAAAAAGTTATAGCAATACAGTGGAAATGTTCTGACCCTCCAACATTTGGTTGTTGGAAGAAGCTAGTAAACCAAGCACTTCCACAATATATAATGATCTGTGAAGCCTGCTGGTGCCCAAATAAATTTGACAAACTTTGGTCCTCCTGGCTGGAAGTGCAGAACACAATTCCAATGTAATACAACAAAATAAAATGTACTAAATGTACTAAAATGTATTGCTTTATGAAAGAGTGTATTCATTTCTGTAGCATGATGCATTCATTTGAGACTTTGGGGTTGTTTTACTAAAGGCAGACAGGATGTTCACTTTGCAAAGGGAATTTGCACTTTGTAGGAGAAGCTTCTCCTTAGTTTAATAAATGAGGTGCAACTCTGCTGACTTTTATCATCCAATTATATGCAAGCAAAAATATGTTTTTTTTAAATGTTCCTTCCATGTGATTGGGTATTCTTTGCAAAGTGAAATATAACCACATTCACCAAACTAAGGGAAACATCCCTTGCAAAGTGCAAATTCCCTTACAAAGTGAACAGCCTATTTGACTTTAGTAAATTAACCCCTTTCTCTAAGTTTATCTTATCAGTTACGTTATTATAACCTGAAATGCAAGATTAATGTTGCACCAGAACTATCTTGTAACTTAATATACCTACTGTGATGGGGGTTTTGTGTAGACCGATGTTTGTTGCTTTATTTTCTATATGGCATACATGCGCTGATTCAGTGCTCTGGATTTCCATCCTGTATGCATGGATGATTGTTCTTGAAACTGTTCTGTTACACTATAAAAGCCAATTCACATCAGAATGCATTGGGACTGTTCTGGCCAGTGGCGTCATTTTGGTTTCACCTCCTCTTAAAAAAGTCCATGAACCCATCGCACTCGAAACCGCCGTTTCAAAGTAATAAAGGTGGGTGCTGCGGCTGTCGATGGCTGGCCACCGTGATATTTAGCTAGTAGAATATATAGAGACA